GATAAGTCTTTAGCAGCTTTGCACATCCGGATACTGCAATATTTCTCCACTCTTGCCCAAACTCTGTCAGGTAAGATGGGTATCAGACATAAACAGCCTCTTTCAAGTCCACCCACAAATTCTTTCAGATGCAGATCTGGGTACTGACTCAGCAAATCCAGGACAGGAAACGTTTTTTTCACCCATTCTTGTGTAGTTTTGGTTTTATGCTTGGGATCATTGTCTTACTGAAGGACAAATCTTCTCCCTAGGCCCAGTGTTTTTCCAGACTCCATCCAGGATTGCCATGTATTTACTCAACCTTCACAAGTCTGTGCCGACTCATTGTGGAAGGAAGTTTCTCATCTTGTTTTTTTCGGTTTGCCACCTGGTTGAGCGTAATGGTTTAACCATTCAGATGGCCAGTAGTTGTGTTTTTGGTTATTCCAGGAAGAGTCTTGACCACATCAGGGCTTAAGCCATTTCCGGAACCTGAAATGAACACCACAGTCTGGTATGGGCCCCATGGTGGTCTCCTGGATTTAATGGGTCACTTCAACCTGTTAAGGCTTTAGAAATGCCTTTAAACAAATAAACACCACATCAGAGCCCTTAGTCCGGTATGGGCCCCATGATGGTCTACTGGTGTTTATGGGTCACGCCTCACACTGGCAGGGCTTTGGAGACTCCTTTCTTGACCAAACTTCCACAAAGTCCACTGATATAACGTCTTCCTGCGGCTCCACCAGGGATCATCCCCATAAGCAGGGCAGCTCCGGTGATGATCTGTGCGATGGCTCCCAGCACAGTGAGCGGTGTACTGCGGATCCCCAGTGCAGAATACAAAGTGCCACCAAGCGCCACCATGTACAACAGGAACCATGGGTCAAGCTCCCGGAGAAGGCGACTGGGTCCCCGAAGGAGGGCAGCGGCGCACAGGCCCAGGAGGGACCCCATAGACCACAGCATGGCGAATTTCCGGGCGCGGAGTACGAGCAGCGGCACATACAGTCCTGCCAGGGCGAAACACAATGTGGCCATTACTGCACACAGCATAGCTCCAATCAGCCGCTGAGACCCCGACATCCCTGGCAGCAGGGGATCTGGATCCACAGGGGTCCATGACCATGACAATCCAGTGCTGGGAGGGGAGAACCAGGTCTTCCATCCCCCTTCTGAGCGCTCCCCGTTGGATGAAGAAACCGAGGAAGAACTGCCACTATTTCCAGCTTTATTCTGAGCCACGTACTCCTGCAACTGTCTACCAAGGTCCGCCATAGCGGCAACACTTCCGCCTTTGTGTCTGTGTTAATAAAGCTTGTCGAAAACATCCAGGCAACCGTACATGGTGGGCGCCGCTAGAGGTTCGTGTCTAATTGTACTTGGCGGCCATTTTGTTGGAGACCACACAGCGTAGCTGCGTGGTTGCTAGATTTTTCCCTCTGGCTGTTTCCATCTCAGGCTCGGAACACAGTAGGTGAGTGTGTGTTGTTTACGGTGCGGACTACTACAGTGAACAGAAATGCCATGTCTCATTGACTGAAATCTTGGGCTTCTTCAGATGCTGAGTAGCAGCAGCTAAAGAGTTCCAGAAGGCCCTGTCCTCCCCCACTGTTTGCTCTGTGTAACATTCAAGCCCATCTGCAGATCTCAGCAATCAGATTGACCAGGACGTGCTGAGTTCATAACGAGCTTTGGAAGGAGTGGGGAAGAGTTAAATATGAACTGCAAGGGTCAACTGCTCATTCTGGTCTAGGGACACAAATAAAGAAAAATATACTCACCTGATCTTCGATTCTGTCTGGATGCTAGACCAGTCCCTGCAACCTCTTCTCCGCTGACGTCATTATGTCAATGCAAGGACCATTCACTTGCATTAGATGTGAGGACGCTGAGGAACATTCCACAGCGGGAGGGGTGAGTGGTCACTGCTGCAGGATTAAAGATCAGGCGAGTATATCTTCTTTATTCCATTCTCTAGACCAAAACGAGCAGTTAACTCTTGCAGTGCAGGGGTAGCTCCACTGAAAGGATTAATATGTGAAAATCCTGGAGATCTGCTTTAACATTTCCCACAAGTGTCTTTTTCTATAACGGACTCCGTTGGTGATATTTTCCCTCACTTCCTTCCCCTGTAATGCCTGTACGTGAAATGGGAATGGAGGGTTTGGGTGGTATGATTGTCACCTGGACAGGCATGCATGGCCAGCAATAACAACAGAAGTTTACTGTGTTTTTGTCTGAGACCCCCCACTTGAGCGATTCCCTATCACTAGGGAAAATCTCTCCGACTCTGGTAGTCATAAAAAGGAGCAGCTCCAACTATTTCTGCCTATCTGCTGGAGTTGGGCTTCAAGCTTACAAGTGTCCCTCATTTATCAGCATAGCCTTTCCCTCCCCATTTTGCCATCAAACGTCCACCTGACAAGGGGCAGCAACCTGGAGCTACAGGCTGAGCGTAACACACACCAACATATTTTTTTATGTGTGGAGTTGAGGTACAGATGAACATTTAAATGTGTGAAAGTTAAATATATGCCTTAAAGAAGGTTTTCTTTTGGGTGTGGAGGGCTTACATATGTTGAATTGAATAAACAGGTGAGCAGCACAGTGGTTAACAATCCTACCTCTCAGCACTAGGCCATAGGTTTAAAAAGACTGCCAATTTGCCCATTCAGGATAAAGTTAAAGTTACAGGTTCTCCTATAAGAACACCCCCCGCCCCCCCCCTCCACTGAGACTTGCTTTACCCACAATGTTTTATTTTATTTTATACTTTAACCATAAAGTTTTATTGGTTTCAGCATAGTAAACAGTACAATACATTACAATACATCACATAGTGCCTAATCAACATTAACTGCATTAGGGTACATCATTGTTAGCACAACTTTGTGGCGGGGTCGCTCCCCACAATTTATTTTAAATAATTTAAATAACTGGATGGAGGTCACACGATTCATCATTCCTGGAAGCACCACTTTTTACTGAGGGCTCTAATGAAACAATTGACCAGTTGGGGAGCATAGGCCAGGTATAAGCAGGTGAGAGGTTCTGAATGGACAAGGTGACAAATTATTTTTTATTGAGGCATGGACAGTGACTGCTTGGAGTTTGTATACTTGTGTTTGTTTTTAATTTTTTTAAACGTGTATATCTCTTTAGGATTCCTAATGGGGCGATCATCAAAAGACAAGCGAGACATTTATTACAGGCTAGCGAAAGAGGAAGGCTGGAGAGCGCGAAGTGCATTCAAACTGCTTCAGCTGGATGAGGAATATCAACTCTTCCAAGGTACTGCAAATTAAGAGTTGTTTCAACATACTGCATAGTGTTGTTGTCAGGGTTTCACATGTAGCCTTCATTTTTCAGGCTCCTGCTGGTTGCTGTGGCTGAACTCTGTAGGACACCCTGGTGTGTACAGTAATGGCTGCAGGAGCTGCACTAACCTGGCTGCAACTGTTGTGCGGTAGAGCTCACTACAGCCTAAAAAACGAAGTCTGAAACTGTACTGCTTTATATTAAACCCTGTTAACCCTGTCCTTCTCACACCAGTGTTGGTGAAAATGATTGGCTTTAAGGACCCGTTCAGACCATAGCATTGTGTTAAATGCACAAAACCTGTGTTTAACCATACATTATGGTGTGAATGGGTCCTAAGGCGTTAAGTACTGAGGGTTAAAGTGACACTAAACTCAGGCGTTGAATCTTACAAATGGATTCAAGTACCTTGACTTTCATGCCCCCCCCCCCCCCCC